GTTTTTAACGGTTTTAATGTGTATTAATTTTAACCTTAATTTAATTTTTGACAGCTTGCTTAATTGTTTCATACTGTTTTTTAATATCATCACTGAGTAGCTTTCAGCTATATTCTGTTTTAATTTCTATTGTGTGCTGTCTCAGAGGAAAAATAAGTAAATGAAGCAATCCAAATTGATCATCTCTTCATCTTCCTGTCATGAATTTCACCTGGTCACAATAATTCCTGATTTTCCTCATTAACCCACTGCCTGAAACCCACACCTCCTACTCAACTGTAGTCTTACCTGGAGATCTACATAGATGTCAGTGTGATTGTTTGCCCTCGCAACCACACAGCTTGCAGGTGGCTCTGCTCCTTCAATGTCTGGAAGAAGCCTCAGAGATCCAGCCAAGGACAAAGTTTGCAATGCTTCTTGGTAGTTCTTATAGGCACCAAATGGAACTGCCTCTTGGCACATGAGGTACACTAAGGACAAGCAGAGGGAGTTAAAGAGCAGCCTGGACTCCAGCAATCAAGAGTTATTAGCCAACATGGGGAAGAATTTAGATATGTTCTCTAAAGCGCACAATGAGTATTTGCATGTAATAATAATAATAATAATAATAACTTTATTTATATTCCACTTTATTTATACAACCCAACATATAAATACAAATTATAACTAAACAAACTAAAATTAAATTAAAAGCACAGCCTGTTATAACAGACATAAGACAAAACATCAAACATCAAGACACTGATTCTGTCTTGAGTTATTCTCTTTGATTGTAGGTGAGATTCTGATGAGATTCTCTTAGCTCTGTGCCATTGGTGGAAGGTAAGAATGGGGAGCACATATATCATTTCCAAAACACAATTTGAACTAGGGCTGAGGAAAAACAGCTGAGTGGTCTATTGGTATTCCACCATTCATACTCCACTAAGACCTTCTGCTAAACAAATGGAGGTGAAGGAACATGCTAAAGGTGGAGTCGGGGTTAATGGACACAGTTCCACTCGTTCCTCACATGTTCACTAAACCAATAGAAAATACTGAAAAAGACACTGGTGGTACCAGAATCAGACACAATCTGTGCTGCTGAACTTAATTCACTGCTGTTGTGAGTTCTAGCCCAACTTACCTGTCCAAACGCATCTCCCCTTATGAACCAGCTAGGACTTTAACATCATCTGGGGAGGCCCTGTTCTCAGTCCCACCTTTGTCACAAGTACGTCTGGCGGGGACAAGAGACAGGGCCTTCTCAGTGGTGGCCCCTTGGCTATGGAACGCTCTCCCTAAGGATATTAGATCAGCTTCTTCCCTGTTATCATTTCAGAAAAAGCTCAAGACACTATTTTTCAAGCAAGCTTTTGCAAATACAGAGTAGCAGATTTAGGATAATGGAACAACCATATGATGGGACTGGACAATGTTTTAATACGGATTTCTTAATGACTTATATTTTATTGTTGTTATTATGATTTTATGTATGCTAATGTTTTTAAATTGTACTTGTGCTTTGTGGCATTGAATTTTGCCTTGTAAACCGCCTCAAGTCGCCTGAGGGCTGAGAGGGGCAGTATACAAATACAGTAAATAAAATAAATAAATAAATAAACAACTTTTTATAAGGGTTTGTCACAAAACTTCCCACAGTTAATGAACTTAGTATGCTTGCAAATTCTCCAGACCTAGGGGGGGGGGGGGGACAGTTTTCTCATTTCACACATATGAGCAACCTCACCTGCGGGCCGAGCTTTAGTGAGCTGATATGTCGCCCTTATATTTCGCACTACTTTGATGACTTCCTGTACCAACAGAAAGTTTGTCTCTTCCTCTGGATGACACCAATGAGTCTGGAAATAACAGGGAGAAAGGAAACACACATGAAAATATATTTTTTACTAGATTGGAGTCAAATTTTCAAATCTATTTTAGTTTATATAGTAAGAGAAATTCAACGTCCATTGATACCTTTTTTAAAGAATGGGAACCCTTTACATTATTCATAAAGAAAAAGGGGAATGTTAAAACACTGGCAAATTTTGAAGACGGAAACATAATAATAAGATAATAAGGTCGAATGAAATTGTCTAAAAAGATAGATTGATGGGATTATATCAGATTTTTCCACTTTGCATCTATTTTAACTTTTTATTATTATTTTGATTATTATTTTGCAATAGAGAGAGTGGGGAAACTAGTTTAAATGGATGTATATCATGATATAAGTCAGAGAAAGGAAAATTGCTGTTTTTATAAATTGTACAATAATAATTATATTGCTAGAAAAAATAATAAACAAATAGATTAAATTGATTTTTAACTATAGTTTGTATAGTAAGAGAAATTCAGAATAGGATGAATAATGAAGAAACACATTCGGTAAAAAGATGTTTACACGGCAAGCCACAAAATGGGCCTCAACTTGTTAATATAGGCTATAAACATATTATAGCCTGTATTAACAGGCTATAATAGGCCTGAGTTGAACTGCTGAGCTGCTGAACTTGATGACCAAAAGGTTGGTGGTTCAAATCCAGGGAGTGGGTTGAGCTCCTGCTGTTAGGCCCAGCTTCTGCCAATTAGCAGTTCGAAAACATGAACATCTGAGTAGATCAATAGGGACCGCTTCAGTGGGAAGGTAACAGTGCTCCACGCAGTCATGCCGGCCACATGACCTTGGAGGCGTCTACGGACAACACCGGCTCTTTGGCCTAGAAATGAAGATGAGCACACACCCCAGAGTCAGACACAACTAGACTTAGTGTCAGGGGAAACATTTACCTTTATAAGCACATTGACATATCAATTTCCTCCACAGTTTAACTCATTTCTCTTTTACTTGACCCACCAGGTGTTCTTTGCTGGGGTATCTGGCCACACAGATGCTGGGAGGAGACCCGGAGCTCTTCTTGGGAAGTCGCTGCCATAGCTCCTCTGTGAGGAAAGGCATAAAGGGAGACAGGAGGCGCAGAGCCAAGTCCACAGAGCTGTACAAAGTCTGGCGGGTGGCTAGGAGCCGAGATGGATCCCCGCTCCTCAATATGGGTTTTACAGATTCCTGCAGAGGAAGTGACAGCAAACGTAGCATGAAATGAAAAGATAAAGAGGGAGACCAAAGCCCTTGAGTCTGTAGATATGCTTACTCAGTTTTGCCTTCAGTGAAAACCCGAAATCCCCATAGTCCCTGAACTATAGCCCTTTCCTCACTCCTTTTCTTGATGTCTCTGCTTTCACATATTAAATAAAGGGTGTTCAACCAGATGTTCTGGACAATAAGTCCCACAATCCCTTACTACTGGCCATGCTGGCTGTGTCTGATGGAAACTGTAGGCTGAAATATCTAAAGGACCAAATGAAGCTTGTAGGCAGCTGGATTAGCAATTAAGCAAAATAAGCATATGTTTAGAACATTGAGAGAAAGGGACTGAACAGAAATGTCCCAATGCTAGATTTACCAGGAAAACTGAAAGTGGTGTAGCTGAACCAAGTTCCACAAAAAGGTTCCCACATTAAAAGACTTTGCAATCAGAAAAAAGTAGAAGAAAACTTTTCAAAATTACATGAAGTGGAAGTATTTAAAAAAACACCCAAGATTATTTTCCATCCTTTTGAAATTAAAAAAAAATGTATATTACTGATTATATTTTGAATTAAGATATATATCAAGATGCCAAAATAAGATTATTTTCCATCCTTTTGAAATAAAATATATATATATTATGGTATATTACTGATTATATTTTGAATTAAGATATATATCAAGATGCCAAAATAAGATTATTTTCCATCCTTTTGAAATAAAAAATATGTATTTTATGGTATATTACTGATTATATTTTGAATTAAGATATATATCAAGATGCCAAAATAAGATTATTTTCCATCCTTTTGAAATAAAAAAAAATATTTTATGGTATATTAATGTTTATATTTTGAACTAAGATATACCGGGATGCCAAAATAATTTAAAGTGCTTAGCGTCTATAAAGGTCGCAGTCCTGCCCTGCATTTTGCTACAGGCATCTGGAATCTGAACCCCTGGGAACCTTACCAAGTAGACATCACAAAAATCACACAGCCAGAAAAGATGAACTGAAGAGGCAACAGAATGCAGCTCATATTCCTCAAACCAGCGAGCACAGTCTACTGCTGTGTGATAGCAACGACTGAGAATCCACTTATCCATTGGGGAGCTAGGGAAGACCTGGATGATTGACATAAAACAGTGGCAATAAAGCATCAATTGTGTAGAATGTTTATCCCAGCTTTTGTCATGAAACTCAAAGCATCTCAACAACAGGTAGTCTTTCCATCTAGGCCAGACATGAGCAAACTTCAGCTCTCCAGGTGTTTTGGACTTCAACTCCTACAATTCCTACTGGCTGTTGGGAACTGCAGGAGTTGAAGTTCAAAATACTGGGAGGGCTGAAGTTTGCCCATGCCTGACCTAGCCACTGACCATTTCCCAAGTCCTACCAAGATTGCTGTCTCATGCCCCATATAATCATAGAGTTAGAATAGACCACAAGGGACATCCAGTCCAACCTCATCCCGCCATTCAAGAACATGCAATCAAAACACCCCCAAAAGATGGTCATCCAGCCCCTGCTTAAAACCTTCCAGAGAAGCTGAATCACAACACACTGACACTCACTCCCTCCCACTTTCTGTGTGAGCTTCAAGTAACCATAATCACTATAAACATTCCCAATTACCTCCTCTGGATCCAGTGGGTTAAATCCTTCTCCCAAGGCTGCCAAAGTGAACTTCATGGCATTCCACACCTTGTTGCAAAAGCGATTAGCATTCTCCACTGTGGCTACATCCAGGTTAATGCCATTGCCTGATATGGAGGATTGGGATATTTATTTACAGTACTTACGTATTCTAATGAAGTATGTAACTGGCACTCTCTTTGTTTCTTATTAGTGCTAATGTTTCTTATTTTGTGTTATAATTGTAGTATGTTAATAAAGGTAAAGGTTTCCCCTTGAGATTAAGTCTAGCCGTATCTTACTCTGAGAGTGGAGCTCATCTCTATTTCTAAGCTGAAGAGCCGGCATTGTCTGTTACCTTCCTGCCTGAGCAGTACCTATTGATCTACTCACATTTGCATGTTTTCGAACTGCTAGGTTGGCAGAAGCTCATCCCATTCCCCAGATTCAAATCACCAATCTTTCGGTCAGCAAGTTTGGTGGCTCAGCAGTTTAACCCACTGTGCCACCGGGGGCTCCTATCATGTTGGCTTCACCTAAAAACACATTTCCATCAAACCTTTCAAAGCACCAAAATCAACTGTAAAAAATATTTTATTCTAGAATTCTGTACATAATTTCTAAAAATGGATGCAAATACATAAACCACACTTCAAACTCACTTGAAAAATATAGTCATTTTCTTCCCCAGCCTAATCTACCACATAGGTTTGCTGACGGTGTACCTTAGGACCACCCCACATAAACCAAATTAAACCTCTTCAAGAAACAATGAGGTAACTATGTGATAACATATGTAACACAACTTTTGCTCCTAATTGGTTCTATCATAGAAAACATGGGAAAAGTGTATTAAATTACAAAAGCTTTGTTTTTGCGGGACACCCTGCAGCACATTTTGCTATAGTTCGTCAATGAATATCTCAGAGAGTCTCAACCAATTCAACATAGTTTGTGGAAGCCACAAAAACAAAGTTTCTGGAGTATAACAACTACTTTCAAAGTAAGTACCACACAATTAAACAGGAAATAACCTTTACAAACCAGGAACAGATTTTTTTTCAAATTTTGTTACATAGTACAATCAATTACATACTTAATATCACATATAATCAATGAACTTTTGTGGTTGTTGTGTGCCTTCAATTCATTTCTGAGTTATAGTGACACTATGATTTTCACGTTGACTTACTGACAATATTTTTTCAGAGGGGATTTACCTTTGCCATCCTCTGAAGCTGAGAGAGTGTGACCTGCCAAAATGTAATGCTGGGAGAAAGTCTTCATGGCTGAGCAGGGACTTGAACCCTAGTCTTTCAGAGTCCTAGACTAATGTTCAAACCACACTGGCTCTCAAAGAACTACTGATAGATATTTCAAATCAACTTCACACCAAGTCAATAGTGAGTTTCATTAACAATGGGGATCTACTACAACCTATCATATTTATTTCACTCTTGCCAGCCACTTCCTTCTTCTCCTGCCCAACAGAAAGGAAACTGGAAGGAGAAAGACCCAACTTCTCACCTTGTGCACAGTATGTGCAGAGGGCAAACCTCAAAGCATCTGTGCCACATTCGGGAATTCCTTGAGGGAAATCTCGCCGCTGGAAAGGAACAGAGACAGAAGGTGGTGAGAACACTCAGAAGTAACAGAAATGGATGAGGAGGGTGGTGTCAAGAAATGGGTCACTCTCACCTGGCCTTCCACAGCAATGGCAACCTCTCTTGGATCCAAATTACTACTTCGCAGCTTCTCCTGTAAAATCTAAAATAGGAAAGCAAAATGAGAACTGAGAAGTAATAAGAAGAAACGTACAACTCCATTAATTTGCCACTAGTTTCACAATAATTTAGGAGCCCCCAGTGGCGCAGTGGGTTAAACCACTGAGCTGCTAAACTTGTTGACCGAAAGGTTGCAGGTTCGAATCTGGGGAG